CGGCACTGTACCTGTTGACTCATCTAGAACAAAGGCCATGTGTTCATTTCCCGAGAGGATGCTGTACGTTACTCTTCCATTCCTTCCTTCATCTGGATCGTCAGCAGTTACGTGGTGCACGACAGAGCCCACCGTCGCATCCTCTTCGACGTGGGCAAGGGGGAACGACTTGAATGTGGGGCTGTGGTCATTCACGTCCAAAATCACTATCTTAGCCATCAGAGACTTTAGTCGTCGGTCTGTCACATTCACAGCCTGATCAGATGCAGTTACTTTCACGACGACAGTGGGAACCCTCTCTCTGTCAAGGAGGGATGCAGTGACCAAGGTGCCAAATGTGGGATGGATGAGAAAGGGGTTTGTTACAGGGTGGTGGGCTTCCATGAAATAGTGTACTCGACTGTTCAGAAAGCTGCCATCACCATCTTTGGCGTTGAAGACATAGACCAGTGAACCTACAGCAACATTCTCTTCTATGCTGATCACAATGAACTCATCCTGGAAAGCAGGGGAATGGTCATTCTGGTCTTCCACGTCAATACTAAGGTAGAGGGTGCTATTCAGGGGAGGACTTCTAAGGTTGTCATTAGTAACCACCCTGAAAAGATAATGAGATGTCATTTCATAATCCAGTTCCTTAGAAAGGAACAAGTCTCCAGTTGAGCCATCAATTGCAAAATGACCATCCCTGTCATCAGCAATGATACAAAACTGTAACTTTCCACTATGATATTGTTGAAGGTGACCAGGCGACTTTATCAAACTCATGATTTTTGCAGGCTTTACGTTTTCCGGTAAAACCAAGTGTCTAATATTCTGAGATACAATAGCCTTTCCTTTGGATTGTGGTATCACCTGAGGGGGGGAAAGGAATAAAAAAGCCACTGATTTGGGGTGTATCAATACATTTTATGACATTATTTTGGACGTTAATTCAATCCATTTGTGAGATATACATTTATTCATTGGTGAGAAAACATATTTATACATAATACAACTCTCAGTATCACCCTGGAATTGAAGATCACGTAACTGGGAGCCTCGTGGCATCGTGTTTAAAACCTTCAATTGTTCTGTGGGTAAGAGATCAGGCTTTCTACAGCTAGAGTTGCAGTCTTGGAAACACACAGGGGGCAGTTCCACCCTGTCTCACAGGGTGACTAAAAGCCAAAATCAACTTGGTAGCAGTGAGTTTGAAGTCTTTGGGGTTTTCTTTTCAGAAAGTAGAGGAATTTAAAATTCTTATTTTGTGGTGAAATGTGATACTATGATGAGCTCACGCTGTGATCCTTCAAGGGAATAGCCGTGTGTCCAAATTACTCTTAAGAGGTCGAGATCAATATATACATTGACAATGTATAAAATGATAATATGTGTGTGAATTTTTAGTATCATGTATATGTTTCTCTGAAGCAAGAGACATGAAGCATAATCCTATAGAATTTCCTGCTTACTCAAATATCCTTAATTTGTAAGGAATATAATTGGGAACTCTTCGAAATATTTCTCACTAATTATTTTACATGTGTATATTAACTATTATATATATCTAAAAGCATATAACTGATTGTCTTGTACATGACCAGAAAAATCTAGCTATGCAAAGTCATTTTATTTTTTACTGGTTTATTTAATTTCTTCTACTATAAAGACTTCGCAAATTCTCTGTTCGTTATATATAATTAAAGAAAACTATAACAATATTGATTAAAGTGTATTTTATAAGTTTTTTTAAATTACAAAAACAAACTAATTAATTGTATGGTCATTTGTTTGCATTGAAGTTTCTACCGGAAACGTACTAGTCCTTGCTATTAGGAACAAGTAAAAGAAAAGGTCGTTTTTCCTCAGCATAGACAAAGCAACATAAATGCCCACATAATGATGAAGGTAAATATCTTGTCCAGAATTACATAAAGCAAATTTTAAAAATTATCTAGATCTATATACTTCCCTAGTGATAAGCAAATGGTAAGCATGTAAGTGTACTGTTTTCATAAAACAGTATTCATATGTTTAATGTATCTTCAGTCCAAATGTTGCTATAAACATCATACAAAACCTTCAAAATATCATTTTTTATTTGTGACCACAGAATATTACCTGAATATTAATAACCGCCTGTCCTTGAAGGGGAGGCAAGCCCTGGTCACTGGCAATTACAGTCATCCTGTAGGAAGGTCTATAATCATATGAAAGTATTGTAGTTGTTCTTATTTCTCCACTGTTGGCATCAATCTTAAAGTGATCAAAACTATCTCCTACATACAAGTACAGACACATACAAAAAAGGAAATTAATGTTAGTTGACAAGACAGAAACCAAATAATTAATACAAATGTACGTGCAATCACTTGAAAGATTTATTTGCCTTCATTCCCATGGGATATGAACATAAAGATAATAGCAAAAATAGATAATAAATGTAATAGCTATTTTTAAATATTTTATTTTGAACATTTAAAAATAAATAAAATGTAGACAAAATGATATAATGATGCTAGCATGAGCTAGCATCACCCAGCTTCAATAATGATCAATTCAAGGCCAGTATTATTTCATCTATATGCTCATTTATATATTTCCCTCCCCCATTTTATTTTGAAGTAAAGCCCAGAAACCACATAATTTCTTTTGTACATGTTTCAACGTGCATCTCTGAAATAGATATATATGTAACATATTCTATTTTGCAAAATCATTAATGATTTCATAATAGTATTAACTATACAACCTGCTTTCAAATTTCCAATTGCCTCAAAATTATCTTTAAAGAAAAAGGTGTAAATGAAGTACTGAAGGAAGAAATCCAATATGCACTGAAACCATTGAGAAAAACAGGCTCTAGGAGTTGACTGGCTGCCAAATGAGATGCTTCAACAAATAAATGCCACTCCGGAAAGACTCACTCGCTTATACCAAGAAATCTGGAAGGCAGCTACCTGGAAGAGATATGATCGACACATAACTACCCCCCGACCCCGCTGAGGGAGATGAACAACAGAAACCATGGGAGAAAGGAGCCAGTGGTCAGTGTAAGATATGAAAATAATAATAATTTATAATTTACCAAGGGGTCACAGGGGAGGCGGGGAGGAGGAGAGGGAGGGAAAAAGAGGAGCTGATACCAAGGGCTCAAATACAAAGTAAATGTTTAAAAAATACTGATGGCAACATATGTACAAATATGCTTGATACAATTGATGCATGGATTGTAAGACCTGCAAGAGCCCCCAATGAAATAATCTTTTAATTTAAAAAAAGAAAAGGGAACTATGAAAAAAAGAGAGAGATACATATTCTTGCCCATTCAAAGGAAAGGTAATTCAGTGGAATGCAGGCAACATCCTTAATATCACATGCAAATAAAATTTTTCTAAAGATGATTCAAAACTCCGTACAGTAATACACCAGCAGGGAGCTGCCAGAAACTCAGTCCAGATCCAGAAGATGACGGAGAAGGAGAGATGATTGAGTAATGTCAGACGAATGTTGGCCAAAAGTAGTGAATGCCAGAAAGATGTTTACTTGTGCTGTATTGACTCTGCAAAGGCATTCATCTGTGTGGATCACAACAAACCGTGGATGACATCATAGAGCACGGGAATTCTGGGACACGCGGAGCTTGTACATAGACCAAAAGGCACTTATACAACAAACAAAAGGGTGACAGCAGGTCCAAAATTAGAAAAGATGTGTGTCAGGATTGCATCTCTTCGTCAGATGCATGCAATCTATACACTGAGAAAAGAATCCAATAAACCTAACTACATGAAGAAGAATCGGGTTTCAGAGTTGGAGGAAGACTCATTAACAACCTTTAATAACATGCAGATGACACAGCTTAAGGAAAACGAAGAGGACTTGAAGCACTTACGGCTGAAAATTACAGTCTACAGCCCTCAATATAGATTTTCTATCCACATAAAATTAACAAAAATCTGTTTATCTAGACCAATAAGCAACATCATGATAAATGGACAAAGTATTGAAATTGTTTGGGTTCGTTCAATAATCATTGGAAATAGCAGTTATGAAATCAAATGATACACTGCACTGGGGAAATTTTCTGCCAAAGACCTTGACCCAATCTCCTTCTCTCAATATATAGACATCAATATTCCTTTAAAAAATTAGTACCAGTGGCTAATCAAAGACAGTATTAATGGAAGATCATTATGCCACAGGGGGATCATCGATAAAACTATCTACCATAAATTAAGAAGGAGGTTTTGATAGGAAGCCAAAGGCATATAAAAAAATTTTTTAAAGCAAACATATATTCAGGAATGGGGCTTGGTCTCACACTAAATTTAAGTTAGGAAGAACAATTAGTTCTTAAAGCATGTCCCCGCTCGATACCCACCCTCAGGAAGGGAACACAGAAGATATGGTGCTAGAGCAAAGTGTGGTGAAGAAAGTAGATGGTGCCCACCTGTGTAATAAAATAGCATCTGGAGTCTTAGAGGTTTGTTTCCAAACAAGTAGACATCTAAATGAGAAGTCAACTAAGTCCACATGGAAAAAGCACACCAACATCTGTGACCCAAGAATTATAAATCATATAATCCAAAACTGAAGGAGGGAACAGTATCAGAGCCTTAATTGTAGAATCTGGTTTATGGACGGCTATGGATGACGGTGGGAACCCAAGATACATTTGTGGGATCTACATAGGAAAGAAGCCTCCTGTGATCTCCCTCTATCCATAATAGTCAGGTAGGAGGAAAGTGGCTACCAAATAGAGTACATTGGAGAGATGACTGTAGAGGATCAAAATGATAAACCTGATTTGAATGATTCAAACATTGTCAGCTGACCCCTCTCTCTGATGCATGGTAAGCCTCACCTGGTTATCAACATTTTCTGTAGTTTTTTTGTTTGTTCATATTGGAGAGAATGTATTCTGTGTATTAGGGGTGCTCTTTGCTTCTGGGTTAATTGTTGTTTCAAGGCCTTTTGGGTGGGCATAGGGCACATTTACACATAATGTATCTTATTCATATATTGCTACTTTTTTAAAAAAAAATCATTTTATTGGGGGCTCGTACAACTCTTATCACAATCCATCCATCCATCCATTGTGTCAAGAACATTTGTACAT